GGTTTAGGGTTAAGGGGTTTAGGGATATTTTGGTTGACCCATAGGCCCCAAAGTATATAATTCCTTTTTTATAGGATTCTAAATATGAACCCCAAAACAAGCTACTATGGGGCCTAAGGGTAATTAGGGTTTCGGAGGTCTCGGATCTAGGTTTGGGGGTTTATAGGGTTCGAGATACACCTTAAGCACATCGGGACCCGTAACCATGGCTGGTTCCTCCAGGCCACGAGCTTGATCCGAGCTGTGTTCTAAACCCTAAACCCTAAACCCTAAACCAAACCCTAAACCCTAAACCCTAAACCCTAAACCCTAAACCCTGAACCCTAAACCCTAAACCCTAAACCCTAAACCCTACCCTGAGGCACCAGAATTCCAATCCTCACCCTTTCGACACATCACAGCTCAAGGCCGACGGCCCCTCATTGCGTCCTGAAGAACCTCCCACCATGGGCTGTGCTGGGGCAAGGGTTTTAGGGTTTTAGGGTTTAGGGTTTAGGGTTTAGGGCCGAATGTCAGAACCAAGTCACAGCTGAGAAGACGTTCGTGCCAAGAGCAAGCTGGCAGTTTAAAGAACTCCTTAATCCAAAGCCCTGCCTCCTAACCCTGAGCCTTATCATACACGGCACAAGTTTGACCACGACGGCACCTTCTCTGAAGGCTTCGACGGCCCACTGCACTGGAAGACGCGGGCCCTCGCAACCGGATGTTCCGGAGGGGGGTGGGCTTAGGGCTTTGGGTTAGGTTTTTCATGTGTTCTTGCTTTAGGGCTTGGGATTTAAGTCGCGCCTAAGCCAGTTCGAAATGGGTCAGCTTGCGGATCCCGTGCTGCGAATATTTCGCAGGATCCCTCAGCTCATCTTGGCACATGCTACATGTGGTGGTATCCATGCCAAGTTAGAACCTCGCTATCCATCTGTCACACCTTTTGCTGGTTAAATGGCTGAAAAGCATCTAGCACAGGTTGCGCACATGCTTATTTGTTCACGTTGAGCGTAATCTAGCCGGAATCTAGTTTGACAATCCTGTGTCATGACTGCCCTGACCACACAGAAATGTCTGCTGCAACGTGATCGATGCGACGCACTTGTAATCCCTGAACTCCCTAAGCCCTCAGCCGTCATCCCTAAACCCCTTAAACCCAGAATCATAAGACAAACGACCCTCAACCCTAAAACCCCCGAAACCCCCTACATCCAGAATCCTAAACCCTAAACCCTTCAGGCTCCCTAAACCCTCAGCCCTCATCCCCAAACCCCCTAAGTCTAAACCCTAAACCCCCTAAACCCAAACCCTTCAGGCTCCACGCCTTTGACCAGAGGTTTGAGGTGCCGAGCAGCACGTAGCTGCGCCCCTCAGGCGGGTGCCTTACTTGGCAGCACAAGCTTCGGTAGACTCAAATTCTAATGTAGGGGGCCTGAATAATCAGAATAGGGTTTTGGGGGTCCTTTATACTATACTTATGTTAAGGAACCCTCAAAAAATAGTATAGGTAATTATTCAGCCTCCTATTTTATGGACTCAGGGCTTTACGTACTGGTTCAGGCACTTGCTTGAAGTCTCTAGGGCTCCTCGAAGCTTCAAGGGTACGGGAGGGGCTTCGTGAGTAGTGTTGGGGTTTCGATTTCGATCGGGCCCTAAACCCTAAACCCTAAACCCTAAGCCGCAGGTTCAGGGTTCAAGGCTTGTGGTCTACAGTTTCAGGTGATTTTAGGCTAGCCTAATGGCATGCGGCCAGTGTCGTGGATCGAGGCTGGGAAATGTGTGAGACGCAGGTTACCGTCTTGATGGGCCGGGTTGTAACTTTGTCCGGTCGCAAATTGGCGAAGTTTGGCGAAATGCAGCTTTTCCAGCTTCGCGACTTCTCGCAGATTCACCCCGAATTCCAAGCTGCCGTCGCCATTATGCTTTCAAGAGCAACTAACTGAAGGCTGAGGGCTAAGGGACAAACTGCGTACATCTATAGATCCCAGTATGAGCGTTGAGTAAGAGCTGCAATACAAGTCTACATATGCCGGACATATCCTTGTCACAGGGGGCCTTCAAATAGTAACATCACGAAGTAGATACCACGTTTGGGGTCCCTCCAACATGAACCGAACCATGGGGTACTACCCCGACACAGTAGCAGCTTCTGGTGAGGGCACTATTCAACATGTTATCCAGCTACTCCTGTGTAGAGGTAGTATCCAGGTCGAAACTGCCCAATCCTGCCCAAATTCGTTAGTGAAGGAGTATGCCTAAAATCATATCAGGGATCCTACTATAATGTACAGCAAGGTATATATTGCTTACATAAGGGATGATGGGAAGGTCTGGGTGATACCAAAAGCCCGCAACATTCTTTGCAGCCAGGAAGCGGGGCTCGAACAACATCGGGAAGGCTGATGAGACCTGCTGGTCGTGTGAGGCTTTCGGTGGGCATGGGGCTATGGGTTTAGGGTTTCAGGGTTTAGGGGTTTAGGGTTTGGGGTTTAGGGGTTTAGGGGTTTAGAGTTATACCTACAGTCTACACTGTAGTTCCTTTTTTGGGGGGGCTTAACGAGTGTTCTGTTTAGGGTAGCCACGGTAACCCCCAAAATGGAACTACAATGGAGACTGTGGGTAGGGCTTGAAGGGCTCAGGGAATTGAAGCTCCTGGTCTGAAGGGCCTGAAGCAAAGGACCCTGTCAGCCCTGAACTTGCGTCTTAAGTCTAAGAGGGTTTAGGGCTTAGGGCAAAGGGTTTAAAGATGTCTAAACGAGTTTAAACTATTGCAGCAGCTTAGATCCGGAGTTTAGTGCTTATACGATCTGTCATGCATCCAAACTCGTCTTTCGTTCAAAGCTTGCGCGCGGATGAGGGCCTGGATGTGAAGCCTTGTGCGCCTTGCCGCCAAGGAAGCGGAGCACATAGGGCGCGGCTGCGGCTCCTGGAGTCAATCTGAAAGCCGACCTCAACATCGTGACGGATTTCTTGGAGGATCCTTGTTCTTCTGAGTACCCTAGCCGCCCTAGCCTTTAAACTCTAAACCCTAAACCCCTAAACCCCTAAACCCCTAAACCCTAAACTCTAAACCCAAAACAAGGTCAGCCTTTTCCATTATGCTAGGAGCATAATAAGCCCCAGAAGGTTGAAGGTTGCCTACTCAGCCCCGCAGCAATTGTTGCAAAGAGAATCAAGCTTTCACCCTAAACCCTGAACCCTAACATAGGGGATTAAAGAATTACCGATACTACTTTGGTGGCTTCTTCTTCTCATGTTTGCAGTACAATATACCCCGAAACCCTATGCTAAATATTAAGGCCCCTACATTAACCCTAAACATCAGACAGCGGCCGAGAATCCTCAGAGCCTCCGTGATGGGCAGTCGGAGCCTTCTTTACCGAAGTACTCTAAGGGCCTAAACAATTAGAATAGGGTTTTGGGGTCAAGGGAGCATAAGGAAGACTATTGGCAATTATTTAGGCCTCTATATTAAATCCCGAAGAATCCGGCTGGCTCCTGCAGCCCTCACCCGCGCGCGCTCGCCGTCGTTGCTGACGTCATGGGGCACCGACACCTGAACATGAGGATTCCTGAGGCTCTCTTTAGTGAGCGTTGCAGGGCACTTTGTTACCGCGAGTCAATGCTACATCGAAAAATTAACCACCATGCTAAGGGTTTAGGATTTATGGGGGTTTAGGGTTCAGGGGGTTTAGGGCTTAGGGGGTTTAGGGTTTAGGTGGTTCAGGGTTTAGGTGTTTAGGGTGAAGGGCCCCTGTGTCTTGAGAACAGCTCATGTGCACACTGCCAGACCGACCCTGGACAGGCCAAAAACAACAGACCAGGCTATCTAAGCAATACTCCCAGAGGACCCAATACCCCTTTATTAAGGAATATACCTTATATCATAATATTAGGGCCCCTATAATTTAAGGTCTATTAATTAAGGTGTATTGGGTTCTCTGGGCTGGCTGCCGATGAACCTCCTCCGCTTAAACCTTCGGGTTTCGAGTTTATTATGTCAACTCAGGCCAGCGGAGTCAGAGTCAACATGTCAATGCTGGCTCAGTGCGGACCGCTGACGCGGTCACGATGGCTAGCTCGTTCGACATCTCAGACTCATGCCCATGAACGAACCACAGTCCCCAGAGACTCCCAAATCCCTTATTTAAGGAATCTACCTTAAAGAAAAAAATCCCTGAGATGATTTAAGGTCGATTCCTCAATTAAGGGGTTTTGGAGTCTCTGGGTCCTGATTAGACAATCTCGACGCCCTCCCTCAACCCGGAGTCCTGAAAGCTCGAGCCGGACGTTTGTCCTTGTTTAGGTGACACTCTTAAATGAATGTCTTCTTCCCCTGGAATAAGCCAAACAAAACGCCCAGAGTTGTTTCTTTCATGTGCCCTTCCGATAGTGGTCAATAACAAGGAGGCCTGAGGCTGGATTTTAAGCATTTCTAAGGATTCTGATGGCTGAGGCTTTCTGATTCTACGGGGCCAAGGCTCCGGCTCGGGTTCTAGCTGGTAACATAGGGGCCTTAAAACTTAGAACAGGGTTTTGGGGGCCCATTAAACAACGGCCCCTATATTATTTAGCTAAGGCTTGGGCTTTGGGGCTGAGGACATGAAGCTGAACTTAAGAGTTTGGCGAAGGGTCGGGGGAGAGGGGGAGGCCCCCCAAAAAGGCCCCCCACTAAAGGCAGTCCCACGCTAAAAGCTAACCACCTGAAAATCCCCGTGCAAACACCCCATAAAGCCTGAACTCTAAGCCAAAACTTTTACTAGGAAGAGCCAGCCTCATCGCAATAGACCGTTTCGCCATCGTGCGTCTCCGTTCCGAGAACACAGCGCGCAATGCCAACGCTTGAGATATAGGTTCCACTCCTGGCAAAGGGAGAAGAAATTGAGTTCTGGAGGGGTTGAAGAAAGACGGGTTTAGGGTAATGGGAAAAGCATAGAAGCGCAGCATGTACGGTTTGGAGATCCAAGCTATATTCCATGTCGCGGTTGGCGTGTAAGTGTAAAGATAGAAGCGCTGGATTGCTTCCTGTAGTAAATATAAAGCTGTACCCTAAGCCCTAAACAAAACCTTAACAGGGAGTCCGGATTGCCCTTGAAGAGAAGAGCGTGCTCTGGGGCTATGCCCAATCCCTTCTTTGGGGGCACCTTTTTTTCTACATACGCAGATGCAGACCGTAAAACCAGGCATCCCAACAACGGGTTCGGCATGACCCTCTAGGCACAAGCAACTAGAAACTATTAGGGCAACTCTGCATTCAAGGCGATCTCAACCCAGGTGCTCGAATGATAACTTATCAGTCTCGGGTGTAGTGTTTAAGGCAGCAACAGCATGTTCTTTCTGAAAATGAACGGACACTTCTTAACATCACGTATGATCGCGTCCTTCCTACCTTGAGGAAGGGAAGGCATCCGAAATTGCACACATTGATCGGGTTTAGGGCTAGGGCTTATATGGGGGTTTAGGGTTTAGGGTTTCCGTCGAATGCTTGCTTCATCAGCTTGTGAGGAATTTGCGGTCGCACATATAAGGTGTCTCTTCGTTGAAATTTAACAACTCAAGGCCCTTGACCAAACAACAAAGTTGCAGAGTTCAGTCCAGTTCAGGTGTCTCTAGTTCCCTTTGAAGACTTAGGGAACTAATAAACTCCGCGAAACCCCCACCTCGCGATGACGCAAAGAACCGCAGAAGTTGGCTCCTGCTCTCAGCGCGTGGAAGCTGCAGGTTTGAGGGAAGTGGGAATGACTGTAGACTGTACTTGGAGGACCATGGGACTTAGCAAGTAGGGTTACAAATAAGGTAACGCTACTAATAAGTAATTATATTATAACTCCAGTTAAGGTAGTTATAACCTTACTTACTAAGTCCCATGATCCTCCAAGAAGGGTCTACCTTAGTCAGCGAATGTAGACTGCCCCCTATAATACCCCAAACCCTAAACCCCCAACCGTGACCGTCTCGAACAGTGAAACCACAAGAAATCCGAAGACAAGCGTGAGCGCCAAAACTGCAATGGTTACAAGGAAGGCTTCAGGCTCAACATATTGGGGGATACTCTCCCAAACCCTCTGATGGTACTTCCTAGTAAGTCCTAGTATAGACAATCGAAGCCCTACTTTCTACTCCGAAGCTTCGCACCTCCCCGAGCTGCTCGTCGCAGCGTTGGAAGGCTACGGTCACCGCCTGGCTCCGGGGCTCGTTGGGGGTGGGGGCAGGAGGCTGTGTTGCCTTGCAAGGCTCAGCGACTGTAGGGTGTATGGTTTTGAACTTGGTAGTCATGGATTTTGGGCTTAAGTTGCGGGCTTAGCATTACGGATTACAGAGCTTGGCGCTCGTAGTCAAGAGTCTGGAATTGGCTGTCTGGCCTTTCCACGCCTTTTTTGGTGACCGGAGGTGTGACAGCTTGTGTAGAGGTTGCCATGCGGATAGTAAGATGTCCATACTGGGCATCTAGACATATGTACCAAGAGGAAGCTGCAGCTTGCCGGCGGTCCCTAAACCTCTAAACCAACACATAGACCCCTAAGAAAGATGGCTTAGAGAGAACCCTAAACGAACCCTTGTAGATGCCGTATAGAAGCCTTACGGAACCCCAATGTATATGCCTGATAGAACCCTTCTGGAACCCGTATAGCGTTTATAATTATAGAACTCTTGTGGAGCCTCCTCGTTTAATGAACGCCTGTGGAACCCTCGTGGAGGCCTTCATGAAACCTGAGTATGCTGAACGTTACGCCCGGACAGTCCCGACCGCTTGACTCCCAAAAAAGCACGAGCACCTGCAACTACGATGCTTGAACTATCACGGCGTGAGCTTTTCTTCCACAAGATGCGATACTCTATGGAAACAAGATGTATTGTTTATGAAACGCATCATAATCAGAAAACAACACAAGCACCCGTAGGTTCAATCTTTAACCAGGGCCAGTTTAAACAAACACACACACACACACACGTCTTCAACCAGACATACTACGGCAGCTACACCCCACACCCTGCCTAGAACCAGACCCTAAACCCTGAACCCTGAACCCTACACCCTCATCTCTGAGTCTCTGAACTCTACACCCTGAACCCTTATAGGGTTTAGGGTTTAGGGTTTAAACCCTAAACCCTAAACCCGGAGAGCCTCAGACCAAGCCCTGGCAGCAGCGTGCTCCTCCTTTCTCTCACAATCAGAAGGGCCCCATCATCGCTTCCCCCTGCTACTCAACTTCCCCTGCAAGTAAAGAATGGCGCGACAGTGGATTTTGCGGTTTCGGGCCCGTAATTAAAGCGAAAGGAAAAATCCTGCATTCGGAGACGACGAGGATTCTATGAGGTTAAGAGGACCAATCACTGGTAACGAGTCGGGACTGGCGGTAGCAGTGTCCAGGGGGGCTGCCGGCGAATACTACATATAGTCTCCATTGTAGTTCCGGTTACCTTTTGGGATCCTGAAAACCTGAAGCTTAGACTTTCGAAGGTATATATATATATATGTATGATATATAATACAGTACACACCATGCCCCGCGACAAACCGTACACCCCAAAAACCTGCACACAAAACGCCAACCACCAAATTATGAGATGTGTCCTACAGGCCTGCAGGCGCTTCCCCGCAGCTTTGATAGCCACGGGATTTACACCCAAGTCACCTTGAACTCTACTTTCCGAACTTCAAACCCTAGAGCGTTTACGAGCTTCAAATTCTTAAACCCCTAACCCTAAACCCTAAACCCTAACAATTCTCTCAACTTTCTTTGAGCCCCTCGGCCGACTCGGGTCCTCCAGCCGTCCACCGTCTGCCGCAGTCCGGGTCCAAAGGGGAACCTCTTGCCGCTTCGTTGGTTGAAGGGTTTAGGATTTAGGGTTTAGGGTCTTGACGGGAGTGTTTCTGGTGTATAGGGCTTGAAGAGTTTAGGGCTGTTCAGAGTGTTAGGGGAAGGCTTGGAAGGGTTCGAGCACATGGCCCAGAAACAGTCCCTGGTGCCTCGACAAGTTCGAAGACCACTGGAATAAATCCTACACCCTCAACCTTCGTGTAAGTTTAAAGCACACCATAGCCCACCCCTTGTTTATAACATAGTGGCCCCCAAAAAATACCGCTACAGCATAGCAAGGCACTGGGAAAACACTGTAGAAAACCGTGTACTGCAAAACCTTGTAGAACCCTCACAAAGCCCTTAGAAACCCTTACGGAACTTGTCCCAAGCTCTATATAATAAAGAAACCGTTATAAAAAAAAAACCTCGCATATACTCTTGTCGAACCTTGTTGTTTTTTGTTTTGCTATCTCTCTCTCTGGCTATAAAAGCTGCAAAAAGCTCTGAATTCATGAACATTTTTAGAACTCTCAGAATACACCATAAAAACACCTTTTTTAAGTAAGTATTTGCATACATATATATGTATATATATATATATATAATGGTAACCCCCTCCCATGAACTACCTACCCTCGTTTTGTATCGTAAATACAGTGTCAAACCAGCTTTTCCGGCAGGTCCGGATTTTGTATCTCTGAAAGCCTACCTAAACCAAACCCACATTTCAATACCAGTGCCAGACAACTCGTTCGGGTTTGTCTCTATGGGAGCATTGTGCTCTTCCAATCCAAAACAACTTTCACTAGGGAAATCAAAAACAAACCGAAAACCATCTTTTGGTAAACTGCACGTCCACAGTCCCAAAACATGTATTTTTTCTCGTTTTCCCTGGGAACAAAATTGGTTTAGGGCAGAAAAACAAACTTTAGCCTAGGAAAAAATGGTTTTGGACCGCAAAGCTAAGGGCGAATATTACGGTCGCCATTGAGGCAAGTTCGACATGATCATATACACAGTGAGAAAGGGCATGCCATATACAAATGTTGAAATGACACACACAAATGCTGGCATCATCCCTACAGCTAAAGGCCATGATTTGGGCAATGCCACAGCGAAGACAGCAAGGATCGTGGTGTTTAATGGATATCGTTTTGCGTAGTTTAATATTGGCATGAAGATGAGCGCTGCCGTTGAAGTAAATGTTTGGGCAATTTTAGCTTACTTGTAATACTATTAACAGAAAATAGTATTCGGGATGCCATGACTTTTTTCTTCGGTGACTTGCATGCTCATTTTAGGGACCCCACAGCTACATTTGGATTAATTAACCTGTGGATGGGGCCAATTGTCGGGGTTTCTCCCGGGGTCATTACTTGGGTTGCTGATGAAGGAAGTATCGAACCGAGTACGAAGGTTACCAATGGGAACAGCTTACGTATAGGCTTATGGGTAATATTAAGTATGCGAGTAAGATCCATCTTGGATTCAGATCCCAAGTTAGGCTTGCCAGAGGGACTGCCATATCCTTGCTGTCGGGGGGCCAATTAGGCTGATGTACGTTGTTGTATTAACCCTCAGGTCGACATGGGAGTTAATATGGGGATGTAGAGCGGGGTTACTAACTTCCATGTATCCCTAAGCCCAACCCTGCCATTACACCTTACATTGGCCCCATTGGTCACAGTAGTATTCTATTTCATGTTCACCCATAAAAGATGTCTTACAGCTTCACGTCTTAGTTCGTATGTTTAAAATGAAAAAAGCTATGCCGACTAATACTCGGGACCACGTGATCCGTGGAGGACTTCGCCATGGCAGGTGGAATACCACGGAGCCAGTTGATGCCAGCGCGGGAACCCGGGCCAGTAAGGCAAAACTTGCTATCTTCATGCCGAGGATACTGCACGACCGAGCGATAAAGGCGCCAAAACACGGTGGCGGTGTATGGGCCCATACCCGGTCCAGAAGGCAGACGGCGCATGATCCCGGGCTTGGTGACCCACGCACGCTTTGCCTTGGCATGAAGCGGTTTTGGGGTTTTCCCCAGCTTCCGGAGGATGGACACCTTGGCCTTGCTTTTGCTGAGTTTGGCCAAGGATTCTCGGAGGATCTTTCCTGCTTTGTGGGACTGGCATACAAGTGAGGCAGCGTGAGCTCCGGAGTGGCGAAGGGCAGCGTCGATCTTATTGCGGATGGAGGCCACGCCAGAAGTAGCACCGGAGCCTTGTAGTGCATTTGCAAAAGTGGCAGTGCCCAGAAGGCTGAGGGCGTAGCAGTTGAAGACGTAGCAGGCCCAAACTCGACCCCTCCAAAAAAAGACAGCTTCTGCAACTCCTTTGGGCTTCTTCTGCAACGTGTCTTCTGTGGCCCTGCCCGTCGTAGCCGTAGCTGCGCCGCACGAACAGTCAGAGCAGCACCAGCGTCGGTCCCAAAAAACTGCAAGACTCTTGCCCAGAGAACGGGCGGAGGAGATTACGTGGCGGCTTTGCGGAGCGGCTTGCATATCTTCCCTTCGGACAAAAACTGTCTCGATTTCATCCAGACAAGCCAAAGCAACGCTGATCCACCCGTGCTCGGCCATCGCAAAAAAAGCAGCGAACCCCAGGAGGGCGGCTCCTGCCGCAGATCCGCAGCTGAAACGCTTGCAACGTGAGACCAGCCAAAGCTCAACTTGTCCTGTCGCGAACCAAAGCTGTTGAGCGAGGAACGGGGCATCATGCGTTCTGTTCCAGGCTTTGAAAATAATTGAAATGTGTCGCAAGCCACAATCACGAACACAACAACAGTTGTGATCAGAAACAGATCAGTATATACGAACAACAACAGCAGCAACAACAACAGCGATAAAAAACAGCCACAACCACGGGTTTTTTCGAGACCGCTCGATTGTACCCCCGGGGCGTGTGACCGCATATTGAGCTTCGGAGATTCAGACAGAAATAACTTTCACCGTGGGAGATATCACCTCTCGGAGTATCTGTGTGAAGAGATGAAGGCGGCTCCAATACACATATGCTATCCCCTCGGAACTTCAAAGCCTAACAGCCTAACGTTACACCTGGATCATACACCAGAAACCCAGGTATGTCTTATGGCCTGGCCTCAGTCACAACCCTAAACCCTAAACCATAAACCCTATAAACCCTAAACCCCTAAACCCCTAGACCCGGAACCCCTAAACCCTATAAATCCTAAACCCCTAAACCCTGTAAACCCTAAACCCCTACACCCCTAAACCCCTAGACCCTAAACCCCTAAACCCTATAAACCCTAAACCCTAAACCCGTAAACCCTAATGGCCTGGCCTCAGTCACAGCCTCGGAGAAGGCGTTCGCTGCTAGCAGAGGCAGCGCCTTTCTTTCAGAAACTGGGTTGTAGTTTTGGGTCCCTGCAAGCTAGCTAGGAATAGGTACCTCTATAGAAACCATACGTGAAATTTGTAAAGTTTCCCATCAAGCCACCTATGACAAATGCTTTGTGCGTAAGGTTTCACAGGTGGTTAAAGCAGTTTAGCAGTTGCTGTCCACAAGGTGCGTGGCTCTCTTCTCAAGAGCTTCTGGAGCTATAGTATGCGATGCCAGACTAGAACTGGCTCGACCAAAGTATGCACAAGACTACGCTAGCCTGGACTAGATTATAAGATACCACACTATATTAGGCTGTATACCAAACAGTACTCGATTATGCCACACACCCATGCCGGCTGACGGCGGAGAATTGAGGTGTTCGCTGTCAGCCCAGGTAGGAACTCAGGCCGCAGCTCAACTCTTTGAGCCTGTATATGTCCAGGTTACCCAGTCGCGTAGCCCCTTAATTACCTCTTTCTCCTGCTGTCTGTTTCGTCTTAAGAAGGGGCACAAGGGTACTACTGGGGGGGGGGGGCCCTAGATGTAGGGTTTCGGGCTTATAGGGGCCTTAATACTTTAGAATGGGGTTTCTGGGGGGGTAAATAGTATTAGAACTATAACAAGGAGCCCCCCCTAAAACCCTATTCTCATTACTAAGGCCCCTACATAAGGTTTGTAGGTCTTGTGTAAGGTTCGGGCTGAGGAGCTTTTGGGTTCCTTGGCCTTTGGACGCTGATAATGTAGGGGCCTTAAGAATTAAAACAGTGTGTTTGGGGGGGTCCCTTTAAAGGGTTCCTAAAAGGGTCCCATATATAAGGTGTACTGTAAGGGTTAAGGGTTTAGGGGCCTGAATAATTAGAATAAGGTTTTGGGCTCCTTTCTAGTATAATGATAATATGGAACCTAGGGAATAATGTTGGCAATTATTTTGGCTTCTATAGTAGGCGACCAGGAGCTTCGAGTAGAACCCACTCGAAAACATCACCAAGCCATGTCCAACCACTAGATGATAAAGGGCCGCGAGCCCCCCAGAGCCTAAATGATAGGCCACGTAGCCTACAAGCCCTAAACCCCTCCTACACCCTACAAAGCCTGAACCCTACAAGTAGAAAGCGTGAGCCATGCATGTTTTCCCATCGCAGCACGTGCCGAGCCTTGGCGGCGTTAGCCGCAGCTTCGCCTGCATAACTAACATGTGGGGGCCTTGATGGTTAGAAGAGGGTTTTGGGCTCTTTTATAGTATAACTTTACTAAGGAGCCCTAAGGAATAATTTTGGCAATTACCTAGGCCCCCCTTGTTACGGCAGCTGCGGGGTCTGCGGGGGATCTACAGGGGCCCCCAGACCTTCCAACATCCCTGAATCGAGGAACATACCATAAATTACAGAGTCTACGGGTTTGGGGTATTAAGCGCTTAGGATCTCCGCTATGGTTGAAGGTGTATATTCCCTATATGACCAGACCTTCCACCAGGCCCCGTGTCTCCTGTCCTTCGAAAATACATGCAGTCACGGGACAGCCTCGGCATGGGCTTGTTTTCTGGCAGTGAAGCTTGAAAGAGCAAACCCGAGGCTGCTCAACCCGAAGCTCTACGCCAACCCCCTTCTTACGGAGCTCTGAATTAGACCGGTTTCTGCAGCAACCTCCCCAGCCCTAA